TAGCAGTGCGCCACCGGGCCGGCCCCAGTTCCTTACATTTTGGTTGGAAAATAAGCTTGGTACAATTTCAACCTTCTTGGATTTGTTAAGACTTGTTTGTGATCTGACATGTGGTCTATCCTATAGAAAGTTCCATGGCACTTGAGAAGAATGTGTATTCTGCTACTGCTAGGTAGAATGTTCCTTATGTCTGTTAGGGCCATTCAGCCTATAATGTTGTTCAAGTCCCATGTTTCCTTATTGCTCTTCTGTTTGGTTGTTCTGACCCTTATTGAATGTGAGGTAATGAAGTCTCCTACTATTATATTGCTGTCTATTTCTCCCTTCAATGTTGTCAGTATTTGCTTTATATATTTTGGTGCACATATATTTATAACTTTTACATCTTCCTGGTAGACTGATTCTTTTATCATTATGTAACAACCTCCTTGTCTTTTTTTTTTCGACAGTTTTTGATTTAATGCTTATTTTGTCTGATATAAGTATAGCCACTCCTGCTCTCTTTTGGTTACCATTTACATGGAATATCCTTTTCTATCTCTTCACTTTTAGTCCATATATCCATAAATATAAAGTGAATTTCTTGTAGATAGCCCAAACATTTTTTACAAAAATGCTCAATTAACATGAGACAATATATCTTTCTCTGTCCTAAAACAAGCACCATGATTAACTGGGAAATACTAGAAGCTTTCTCTGTAATAGTTAAAAGAAAAGATGCCCACATTCACTATTATTAACCAATATTTTACTGGGAATACTGAGCCAGTAAAATGCAAAAGAGAAAGAAGTTAAAGTATATAAATCAAGAAAAAGAAAATAAACTATTTGTACCTCATAAAATTGTGAACGTAAAAAAACCCAAATTCAATAAGTGCATTTACTAAGATAATAGGGTGCAAATTTATATGTAGAAAGCAGTACTTTGAAAATATATAAGGGCAACCTGTGACAAGCTACATTTGGAGAAAAGATTAGAAAAGAAAAGATTAATTTACATTAGCAACAAAACAGATAAAATACCTAGGAGTGAACTTAACAAGAAAAATACAAGATTTGTATGAAAACATCTAAACTACTAAAGAACTCAAAGAAAAATTTGAATAAATGAAAATACTTGCTATATTGTTACAGATGTTAATTCTCAACATCATGGAGTTGTTAATTTTTCTAAAGTTAATTTTCAATGTTAAAGTGAGTATACAAATAAGCTCTTGTTGTAAGAATCACACAGGCTAACTCTAACTTTTCAAAATATTACTGCTTGTTGACAGTACAACTAGTCACCCAAGAGCTCTGATCAAGAGACACAAGGAGATGAATGTTGTTTCATGTCTGCTAACACATCTCCATTCTGCAGCCCATGGATTGAGGACTCATTTTTTTACTTTTAAGTCTTATTTAAGAAATACATTTCATAAAATTATAACTGCCATAGATACTGATGCCTCTCATAAATCTGGGCATAGTAAATTGAAAACCCTCTGGAAAAGATTTACCATTCTAGATGCTATTAAGAACATTCACTATTCACAAGAGGAAGTCAAAATATCAACATCCACAGGAGTTTGGAAGAAGTTGATTCCAACCCTCATGGATGACTTTGAGGGGTTCAAGACTTTAGTGGGGAAGTAACTGCACATGTGGTGGAAATAGCAAGAGAACTAGAGTTAGAAGTGGAGCCCGAAGATGCAACTGAATTGCGGCAACCTCATAATCCTACCTTAACAGATGAGGGCTTGCTTCTTATGGATGAGCCAAGAAAATGGTTTCTTGAGATAGAATCTATCCCTAGTGAAGATGCTGTGAACATTGTTGAAGTGACAACAAAGGATTCAGAATATTACACAAACTTAGTTGATATAGTAGTGGCAGGGTTTGAGATGATGACTCCAATTTTGAAAGAAGTTCTGCTGTGGGTAAAATGCTATCAAACAGCATTGCATGCTACAGATCAATTGATGGAACAAAAGCCACTGTTATCTTATTTTAAGAAATTACCATAGCCACCCCAACTTTCAGCAACCACTACCCTGATCAGTCAGCAACCACTACCATGGAGGCAAGACCCTCCACCAGCAAAAAGATTAGGATTCATTAAAGGCTCAGATGATCATTAGCATTTTTTTAGCAATAAAATATTTTTTACCTAAAGAATGTACATTTTTTTAGCCATAATGCTATTGCACACTTAATAGACTACAGTATAATGTAAACATAACTTTTGTGTGCACTAGGAAACCAAAATATTCATGTGACCTGCTTTATTGCAGTATTTGCTTTATTTTGATGGTCCGGAAATAAATCTGCAATGTCTCCAAGGTATGCCTGCATTTTCAAATATTCTCAATAATACTTTAAACAAGTGAAAAACAAATCCTGAAGAAAGTATATTTTCAGTAATGAGAATAACATTTATAGTTAAATTTAAATTTACAGATACATTATCAGCAACTATTTAGACCAACTAAGTTTATTCACTGGATTAGATTACACTGGGCCAGGAACAAAAGACTCTTAGATTAGATTGTAAAAAGATACAAAGGCAGTGCCAATCAAATGCAATTTATAAGATAGGTACATGATACAGCAAGTATAATCAGCAAAAAGAAATCGGAATAGTAAGATAAAAATCAAAATACATTCTGTCAATCATAGTCTTTCAAGAACATACTGTTCAACAGAGCATCAAACATATCAAAAAATGAGTCTTTAGAAATATAAAAAAACTTACTTCACTGTGAATTTGTTAAAATTAAACAGAAAAAAATATATATAACATGACATACTCTTTAAATGACTTGGGTTAAAGAATAAATAAAAAGTTTCTGTCCTGATTAAAGCTCTACTGAAAGGTCTAGATATGTAAACAAGGCATGTGTTGTATATAGAGAGAGTGGCTTTTCACCTATTTTTTAATCTATTGAAAGGGTGACATGTGGACCTTATCTGAGTATATTAAATGATAACAGGAATCCTAAGAGTCTGAAACAAATCTACCATTGAAGAAATAGCAATGGTTTTCTAGTAAATTAGAAAATGATTCACGTAAATAAGTCTTTCCCAAGTCAAAGGCTTCCTGAAGTCCTCACAAGTAAATGTAGAGACATTTATGAGGAGCTGAAACATAATATTTAATAATTATCCTCATAACAACCATTTACTGAATGCTTACTATGTTCAAGACTGTAGGTTAGATACATTAAATACACATTAAACATGTATGTATTCACACATGCATAAGATGAATACAAACTTTAAAATTTTGAATATTAAATGATGCAATTTTTGTTTTTAATCTAATACACTTCCCACACAAGAATTATATTAACATTGATTGGTATTATATAATAATACCTCTTTTAAACCTGAGCAAACAATGTCTGAAAAGTAGTAACTTAATTATGATAGAATACCTAGGAGGGGGTGGAGCCGATATTTGAATTGAAGAAGAGAAACTGATTTACATAATGTGATTCATGATTATTTATAATTTCTGTGATTTTGAAATGTATTAGAATAACAGCACCAATAGTGTTTCACTTTACCTTACAGTAAAATGTAGAACTCTCCTCTTTATGGACTTCTGCTTTTTATTCAAGAGGGGGTGGAGCCGATATTTGAATTGAAGAAGAGAAACTTATTTACATAATGTGATTCATGATTATTTATAATTTCTGTGATTTTGAAATGTATTAGAATAACAGCACCAATAGTGCTTCACTTTACCTTACAGTAAAATGTAGAACTCTCCTCTTTATGGACTTCTGCTTTTTATTCAGGTGTTTCATTTGATCCCGTTTTGTCGATGGTTTCTTCAAAGGAAGAAGATGAATATCAATGGAGGAAAAGAACAGTTTGGAAAGTGCACTGGCCATTCTCCATCCAATATATTTGGAGAAAACTTCTTTCTCTTCGTTTGAGGGCACTTTTGTACTATATCTAGTGAAAGGATCACTTGTGTCACCTAACTCAGCCTGTTGAAAGGAATGAAAAAGGAACGAGTTAGAATTAAATGAGCAGGGTAATGACGTATTATTAAATAAAAGCTAAGATGTACATTTATTTTCTTTGACTAATATTGCATTCTTCCTGTTAAATAAAAATGAGCTTTATAAGAAAAAAATGCAATTTTCCAAAAGATTTAAGAAATTTTATCAATGATTTTCAGTAAAACAAACAAGCATGAATGCATCCAGTCTTGAAATTTTAAAAATACAATGATATAATTTCTATTTTAAATTTGGTACACTTGCCACAGAAGAATTTCATTATCATTTATAAAATTTATTTAAAAGGAAACTAGGAAGTCAGTTGAAGTAATGTATGTTTTATTAAATAAGACATATTTTTCTGTGCCTAATCTAAACTTTCCTTGAAGTCAATAGAAAATTTTTTATAGAACAAAATTTTTAAGTGAAAAACAAACAAGGGATTTGTATTTAGCTTAAACTGAAGATGTTTTAGGATTCAGATTTTGATTGAATTGAATATATTTTAATACCAAAAGAATGCAAAATTTCCACAATGTTTAATCAATCTTTATTCAGAAAAGAACTATTTTCTGAAATTTCCTATTTATGTTTGATAATGTTCCATGACTGATTTTAAAATGGACAGAGGCATTTTTTGAGATGGACAGAGGCATATTTTCATTGGCTGGAATCAGTAATAATAAATGAAGATGTAAGTAAAATGTCATCTTTTATACTTTTTTTATGTTCACAATATATTCATACTATGAATTATTTTTTTTACAAAAAAATTGGATGCTGCCTCTTTCAATTTAAGTTTTTACATTTTTTATTGTATATTATCCATCTTCATGCAGCTCATTACTAGTCACTCAGGATTCATTTTAGATGCCTATTTATCCCATGGTAATAAATATAGGAATGGAAAATGTTTTTCTGCATATGAATATCTAACTAAACCTTTTTAGGATTCTAAGATCAAGCTTGACTCGATTAAATTACTGTTGAAAAATTGACTATTACATTATCTAAACAAAATTATAGTGGAAAAAATGAATACATTGTCATGGTAAAGATCAAAAAAAGAAAGGTTAAGGTAACGAGGAAAATAGCAAAAGGTAAACAAATATGGATTACTGCAAAATCCATAAGTGATGAGAAAGAATAACATGCAAAAAAAAGAGACTAAAAACAAAACAAAACACCTAGCATAATAAAAGGATGAGGTGAAAATCATGCAAACAGGTAAGCATATGATCCAGTAATCCCACTACTATAAACACACACACGCACACACACACACACACACACACACATACACACACGAAGTGAAATCAGTATGTCAAAGACTTCACACACACACACACACACACACACACACATACACACACGAAGTGAAATCAGTATGTCAAAGACTTATCTGCACTCCCATGTTCATTGCAGCATTATTTCTAATAGCTGAGATATGTAATCAACTTGTGCTCATCAATCAATGAATGAATAAAGAAAATGTAGTGTGTATATACATAATATTTATATATATGTATACACACACAATGGAATACTATTCAGCCTTAAAAAAAGAAGGGAATTTTGTCATTTGCTACAACATGGATGAACCTGGAGGAACTATGTTAAGCAAAACAAGCCTGGCACAGAATGACAAATACCGAATGATCTCACTTATGTGTGGAATCTAAAAATGTTGGTTTCATAGAAGTAGAGAGTAGAATGGTGGTTTCCAGGACTGGGGTGGGGATAGGAGATTGGAGAGATGTTGGAATCAGCACACAATTATGTTTACACTATTCCCAGTTGAGTTGAGCATCCTGTTTATTACCTAGGTAGAAATCATGGAAAGAGCATTCAATTTGAAACAAGAAGTTAAACTGTCTCTGACACTTAGTAGCTGCTGTGACTTTGAGGACATTATTTAACACCGCAAAGTCTGCAGCTTCATCTGTAAAATGGTAATCACAATACCTGTACTGTTTATTGTTTACGTCCCCTGGCTCAATTTTTCATAAGAAAAGGTACTTCAAAATCAATAGCAACATACAGTATTGCACAACTATGAGCTATTATGGTGAGCTCTTCAATTATAGGAGATGGATAAATAAATAAATGAGTGAATAAACAAACATGATCAAAAATAATGTCTTTTCATGACATAATTTCTGGCAAAATACATCATTATCAAGTTAACATTACCCTGTATTATAGAATTATGGGGCTCTCATGTGACTACTGTCTTTCTTCCCTCCAAGAGAGGACAGGCTGCAGATCCAGATGCTAGCTCTCTCAGCTAAATGAGTGCACTCCCACATCTTTCACTATCATTCTCTTGTTGGAAGCACAGGTAAATTCTCATCCCTCATTTGTGTCCCAGGCCTTCAGCTTATAGAAATACAGTTTCAAATCACAGTCAAATGCACATTTTTATCTATAAAAGATTTTATTTGTTTGTTTCTTTTCTTGCTGGAAGTAGCCAGGAAGGAATATGAGCTCTACAGTTTGATAATCTGAAATCAGTTCTGGCTCTTCCACTTACTCCTTGAGAATGCCAACTTGGGAAATTAGGTTAACCTCTCCAGGCCTGTTTTGTGTTTAGTTTTGTTCTGTGTTGTTTTTCATCAGTGATAAGGGGATAATAACTACCTTTCAAAGTTTCATGAGGGTGAACCTAGACCACACAGGATGATACGTCTGGAAGAAAGAATGAGAAATTCAACAGAAGACAGAATGAGAAATTCAACAGTTATCAGTTCCTTTCAGGGCTTCCCTAGGAGACAGCACTACTGCTCTGGCCTTTGCGGCAACTCTCACCACCAACCCAGGAAGACTCCACCCAACTTCTGCCATGCCAAAAATAATTTGGGAAGAAAGAATGAGAAATTCAACAGGCATCAGTTCCTTTCAGGGCTTCCCTAGGAGACAGCACTACTGCTCTGGCCTTTGCAGCAACTCTCACCACCAACCCAGGAAGACTCCACCCAACTTCTGCCATGCCAAAAATAATTTGGTTGTATAGTTACTTTTATATTAGCAAATTTGTCAAATAATATGATTATACTTCTATAGTCATCTTCCTTCTTCTCTTAAAGCCATTATTCTAATATTCTTCTTGAGAGCAGACTTATTAATGACCACCCCTTACAATAGATTCTAAAATTATAAATTTACTACTGCTTTTGACCCTGGAATAACACAAGGGTTAAAAATGCCCTATCCATCACCCCCCCCCAGTCAAAAATCTATGCATAAGTTTTGACTTCCCCAAAACGTAACTAGTAATAACCTACTGTTGATCTTGCTTATAACATAAATGGTCAATTAACATATATTTTGTTTGCTATATGTATTATATACAGTATTCTTACAACAAAGTAAGTTAGAGAAAAGAAAATATTAAGAAAATCATAAGGAAGAGAAAATACACTTACAGTACTACACAGTATTGAAAAAAATCTGCAAATAAGTTGACCTGCATAGTTCAAGCCTGTGTTGTTCAGGTCAACTGTATTTAGCCTGCCAATAAACATTACCCGAACCTCCGCTTTTAAGCATTAGGTACACATTTTAGCAATGCCTATGTAGGCTATCAATATTCAGGGTTTCCTTTACTACTGCATTATTGAAACTTAACATTTATTTTTATTAAACAAATAACAGCTTTTAAAATTTCTATGTTAATTTTTATGATTTTGTATTAAAGCTGGAAAAGTGGTATTCTTGAAAAATATTTCTCTCACATACTTGTTCTAACCACGGTCAGAGACAGATGCTTACCCTTTGCTTTTCTATTGTGCATAAAGATGGTAAAAACCAGCAGTAATGCAGGTTGGAAGGAAGAAGATGGATAAATCAGCAAAAGGGGAAATCCCACAAGGAATTAGGACATAGTGGCAATACAGAAGAAAAAGAAGCCTCTGAATTTTCCATCAATAGTTAGGAAGATGTAGCAGACACACCAAAATTTGAGCTAACTCCCATCACTCTTGACATGAGAGTAAAAGGGAGAAAGAAATAGGATGTTGAGCCATTGCAGCACCGTTTGCAGCAAATTCTTTCTGCTCTGTCTCTCTTGTTTTTAAGATGTCACCACATTTTCTTAAGTTATCTTTGAGGTGTGAATATTTAACTTGTTTTGATAACTTATTTTTAAACTTCAAAGATGAAGTTTAAGAAGGACTGATGTAGTAGGTGGAGAAAGGGACTAAGTGGGAATACCCATTCATTTTCCCACTCACTAGTTGTGTGATCTTGCACAAGTTACTTAACCTCACTGAGCATGTTTTCTTGTCCCTGAAATGGAATGGTAATAATAGTCCCTTTCACGGGGTTATTGTAAAGATTAAACACAAAAATTCAATTTATTTTCTAGCACAGTGTCTAGCACACAAAAGTTCTTCAACAGATGTTAGTTCGCTGTTTATTTTTAATTTTAGAGAAAACACAACACGTGGAAATGGCAGAGCCTTTGGGTTAAGCTCACTCATGTTGCATACACTACCAGCCCCTTATTTTATACTGTTTAGATGCAGGTCCCTGGTCTGCATGGGTGGTGATAGTGGTAGGAGAACGGTGGGGCTTAAATGAGTTAATATATAATATACTTAGCACAATACCTGGTGCATTGTAAAGGAACCACAAATATTATTTTGTTCCCTTAAAACAATGTATCTGTTACACTGGCATTCTAGTGATAGCATTTAAGGGACTATACTCAGGCAAAAATACATTTCCCTTTCCACACTCAGAGTTTCTAATTATGTCAAAAGAAAAGCCACATGTGTAGGAGGAGAGTGATAGGCACTGAGAAAATAGAGAATAATAGTGTTGTTTGTTCTATTTTGTTGCTCTACAGAGTACATTAGGAGTATGGAAATAATATCATCAAGAATAAAATCAAATTTTATTTTAGAGATCTCATCATGAAATGTTAACCACAAAGTGCTTTACCTGATGAGTCAAAGGTACTCTGAATAAAGTCACATATTCAT